AAAAAAAAAAAAAAAAAGAGGAAGAAACGAGTGTTGTCATTAGGGAGGGGGTAGTGACATTTGGACACCAGTGGCTTCCTACAGTATTACCCTTAGGATAAAATCCAAATTCCTTTACTTGGCCTATTAGTGCCCTTCAGGAACCAATTACTCTTGTTCTTTGAACAAATTTACTCTCTTCATGTCCCTGTCCTTTGCCCCATATTCCCATCCCCACTCCCATGAACTTCCTCTCTTACCTTAGGATCTTTCATAATTTTCTCTCCCTCCCTGCAGACCATCCTCCTACATTAGCCCCAACCCCCAAAACACATACATACTATCACTTTGATTCACTTGGCTTTTACTCTTTCTTCAGCTTCCGGAAAGCTGTCCTGGATTCCCTTTAAATTGGTCAGATGCCACTGCTATGTTCTCCCATAACACTGTGCACTTCCTCCATCATGGTATTATTCTTCCACCACACTGCCTTACAGACTTCCTGTTTATAGTCTGTCTCATCTGTTAGGCTACAAGCCTGACAAGATTAGGAAACAAAATGTTCTCATTCCCCATTATCCCTCCTCCACCATATGCATGCAAGTGCATAATACAGTTTCTAGCAGAGCAGTACTCAAACATGTTTGCTGAATAATCAATAATCACTGAACAACAATCTAGTCTGTTTATAAGACATTGGACTTGTGGTGCGCTCAAACCATAACACAGCTAAAGTAATTGCTCCTCAGCATCTACAAAATGCCATTGAGTTACATAAACCAACCAAGATTACCATTCATTCATTCATTCTTATGAGACATTTAGGGATATGTTGACAAGTCACAAGGGTTCCTAGTCAAGTGTTCCAGGTCTAGTAAATGAGCCACTGCTACAAAGCAGAAAAGGCAGTGCGACAGAGGTGAGCACAATGGACTACAGAAGGCCAGAGGGGCATCTCATCAGCCTGTGGAAGGGGGCAAGGAAACATGAGGGAAAACATCTAGTAAAACAAAATCTAGGGCAATGCTTAAGTTGTGCTGCATTTATTTACTCAATATTTGGGGGGCACCTATTGTTTGTCTGCCATTATTTTAGACAATGGAGACACAGGATTGAACAAAACGAAGTCCCTAATCTCATAGAGGTTACATTCATGTAGAGACAGACAACACACAAGAAAAAAAAAAAAGCCAGGCACGGCGGCTCATGCCTGTAATCCCAGCACTTTGGAAAGCCGAGGCAGGTGGATCACTTGAGGTTAGGAGTTCGAGATCAGCCTGGCCAACATGGCAAAACCCAGTCTCTATTAAAAAATACAAAAATT